ATGAAAAATATCACATAAGATATTTACTACTTTACTGTTATAATTTACTTTTAGAAAAACAGAGAACTAATACAAGTCGATTATTATTTAATGTATATTAATGTATTATATATGATTACTATATAAGTAAAAAATAGTACGTATTACTCAAACTGATCTGATATCAATAAGTTTTACTTATTTGAACTGATCTGATATCAATAAGTTTTACTTATTTGAATAGATCTGATATCAATAAGTTTTACTCTTCATTTGTCTATTCACTCTGTGCCCATGCTTTTCAATTAACTATTAATACTTTGTCTGCAACCAATTCTTCTTGAATTTGCACTTGATAATAGGTTTCTGATAAGTCTTCTGGTATTACTTCTTTATCTACCCACATTGCTTTATGGTTTTCATTACTAACTAAGAATTCACCGTGCCGATAATTATGAATAGATATATTATTAGCCTGGAAGTCTTAAGTATCCATATCAGGTTCTACAAGTAAATTTGATTGCTTATGTGAACATCCTCGAGTATGGTATTTCAAAGCTTCTTTTAAAGCGAAATACCGTTTACAATAAAAGCAGAGATATTCATTGATTGACTTATTTACAGTTGGGCAATACCAATTGAAAGGAAGATAATGTAGATTCGTGTCTGGAGGAATTAACTTTCCTTCCATTAATACAGAGAGAAGAAAGCTACTAAAGTGAGTTGTATTATCGGATATACTCATGCTTGCTGCGCAAATACCATGAGGTTTTTGTTGGGTAAAGAGTGGTGGTGGGAAAAATCGTTTTGGAAGAATCTGCTGGATTCCACTTCGGAAAGGTTTACAACAACTTGGATCATTACACTTTGTAACTTGAGTCATATAATGGCAAGTCATTACATGATTTTCCATCCAAGTTGCTGATTTTTCCCTCAGGAAGTAGGTTTCTTCGGAAGGATTTATGTATTTAGCAAGAACCGGATAGCCATCGATAATTGTATCTTCCCATACTGATGTCAAAACATCTCCGGCTGCTTTAAAATTACATTTTTCTAATTCCTCATCAACTGTTCTTAGCTGTGAATCCAAATGCGATCCAAAGGTATTAAGTGGGAGGATTATGCTAGCTAAGTCATGGCTTAAGGGCGCTATTCGTCTTTCTACTGGATTGGATGCACTCTGATGTGGCGCGAAGCATGCCACAATGATTGTATCAAGATCATATTTGTCAAAATGTTTAATCATTATTTGAATTGTCTTTTTGTATCGAGAGTTCTCATCAGGACTACCATCGCTTAGCATCACCATTACAGGTTTAGGCTGGCCATCCATTTTAGTATAATCATGCAATTTCTTCTTAACCATCAGTTCATCAAAGTCTTTACCATGTGAGTAGGCAGTACTGCTGTCATGTTTACCACTACAGACCCTTATAAATGTTGGACCTGAATAAGTTACTGCTTTGGAATTTCTATACTTACCTCCCTCCACATTTAATATTGCATAAACTGATGAAATCAGTTTATGCCTTTCAGCAACAATCCAGTCGTGATCTAGAAGCTTCACTTGGTATTCTAACCTCATTAGGATTGGTGCTATATAAGTAAATTATTCATTATTAGTAAATTTTGCTTTTTTTTAAAAATTAGTTTATATAAAATTAATTTGTTGGTCTTATTACAACCTTGTTTATTTGCCGCAGCTAAACCAAGAGGTATTCGTGCTTTATCATCTTGAGATACAACTAAAACATTTCTGGGACCTAATACTGACACCATTTCTTTGATATTTCTTATTAAAGCAGCACAGAATCGGGTATCTTTATACGCCCTTCTTGCTGTATTCTGTGCCCTTAGAAGCTTCACTGGTACAGTTTTAACATGTCATTTTCTTTCTATGGTATTATGCTGTTTTGGAATAAGTCTAAGGTATGTGGCGGAGCGTGATAGCTTATAATTTATTTGTTCCAGTGCTTCTTGGAGTTGATCCAAGGTTTTGACAGATTGTAATGTCTCTAAATGTCGTCTCTCATCTGCCTGCCTATCCGGAGAGACAATGCGAAGAATAGCTTCTAATAAGCCTAGTTGCATTTCTTCTAAATGTAGACAACCGATTGTTGGCCTAGTGAGCTGTATATTAAGACCCGCTTCTTTACATTGCCTTTCTACTTGTTGAAGTTTTTGTTTTTGCTGACTTCTATATCTTTTATAATATTTTTGTTGATATTCTAATTTATTTAATGTTTTAATAATGATTCTAATTCAGCTTGAATTCTTTCTTTGTTCTCACTATCAGCATTGGTATTCATTCCTCTATTTTCTGAGGCATTAAGCTGCCGTAGCTCTTTATTTAATTGAATGATTGTATCTCTGAGCTTAGCCTAAGCTGGTGCCTCTTGCGTTTTAACTATTTTTTTTTCACAGCCATGAAATTAATTACTAATTTAGATTCGAAGATAATGATTTTTAAAAATTTTTAAAAAAAATTTTAGGACCAAAAGAAATTATTGATCTTTTTTTATATTATTTAGAGCTCAAATTTTTACGCTACATAAACTGACGATTAATGACTTTTACAGAAAAACAATATACACGCTCTATCTTCTAGTACCCGTGTTAAACCTAGTTTAGGATATTCTTAAACGAACTAGACAAAACAAAGAGTCAGCGCACAGTATACAACTTTTATGAAGAAACAATAATATACGTGTTAAAACCCAATTAGGATACAATATTAATATCTCAAACAAACTAGACAAAAAAAAAAAAGTTGGCACGCATTATATAACCTTTATAAAGAAACAATATACACGCTCTATCTTCTAGTACCCGCGTTAAAACTATTTTAGAATATAATATTTATATCTTAAACGAACTAGACAAAAAAAAAAAAGAGTCGGCGCGTATTATATAACCTTTATGAAGAAACAATATACATGCTCTATCTTCTAGTACCCGCGTTAAACCCAGTTTAGGATGTTCTTAAACGAACTAGACAAAACGAAGAGTTGGTGCACAGTATACAACTTTTATGAAGAAACAATAATACATGTGTTAAAACCAGTTTAGGATATAATATTAATATCTCAAATGAACTAGACAAAAAAAAAAAGTCAGCACACATTATATAAGAAACAATATACGCGTGCTAAAAACTAGTTTAAGAATGTATATCAATATCTCAATTGGACCAAACAAAACAACCATACATCATATAAGGGACGTGTCAGATATTAGCTAAGATCAGTTTACTATAGAGCTCATCCCCTCCCCTCCTCCTGAGAAATTTAGTCATTCTGGTTGGTTATATGTATACTGAAATTTTTTCTACCTCACCTCTACCCAGGGTTGGCACATTTATCTATTGGGACGAATGGAGAATCTATTGACATTACTCCATTGCTCTATTGAGAATAGTTTCTGAATAGAACCAATAGAAGCCATTAGCTATCAGTATATAAGATATAGGTTAGAGCTCTATTCTTCATCGGTTTTGTTAAATTTTTTTATAGAAGCCATTGGCTCCATTCATTCTATTAGCTCTATTGGGTTCCATTCGCTCTATTGGTAATTTTCTCAATGGAGTATATCCATTGCCAACTCTGCCCTACCCTACAATTAGTAATTCTGGCTAAGCTTAATTTTTTGGCTATGACCAAGCCGATAAATTTTATCAGCTTAGTCGGCTAGTTCAAACCTACCGTACTATTTAATTTTCTTTAATCCTGAATTTTTTGGAATTTACAAAAATCTTTACTCGTATTTTAGGTTTATTCATTTTCTATATCAGAAATTTTTGTAATGGCAAATTTTTGACCATACTAAATCAATTTTAAAAAAATCGACCGGCTAAGCCGATAATTTTCTTTAGCCGATTTTTTTCACTATCGGCCAAAATCACTATCTACGATATCAGACACTTCTCTAACTTATCTATATTCTCTCATTCAAATTATTAATAATTTATCATTCATTGAGAGAAAAAGCCAAAAATCTATAAAACCTATTTAGACTCAATGATATTTATTGGAGCAAATTACAAATGAGCAAATCTTATTTATCCCTAGATAAATATTAATATAGTTAGTCATAGATATAACAGAAAGAATAAGGGATATACTGTAGCACTGACTAAAACGAAAAGACTAGAGATGGGAAAAATTCGCATTTTATAATAACATGCGCACATACGTATGATATCGCATGATATAATTTTTTTGATTTTATATTTTCCTCCAGAAAATATCGGATATCTGCCAAAATTTTTTCTTATCTTTATATTCATTCATTTTCTTTCGGAATTCTTCAAGACTTCTGCATTTCTATTTCTTAATTTTGCCTAGAATTATGCACTTTGGCCTAAATTAAATATTCTTTAATTTTCCTATATAAATTTAGATGAATAAAATGTGCATGATTCCGAATCATGCGTACACATGAAACCTATCCTAGAAAAGACCCGGTCTTTCATATGTGGTAGAGTGAAAAATGGAGTAGAAAATTCTGATCATTTGACGTAACAGCCAATTAATATTGATCCTTATAAAATTTTCAAGATTCAGAGACGATTTCTCAATAATGACTTGAAAAAAATTGATAAAAAAAATATGTTTTAAATACTGCGCTCAATTAAACAAAAACTGTTTATTATTTATTCATAAAAATAAGTGTAACAAAGTAATTTATATCAAATATTGAAATAAAAAAAACTAGCTATTGGCAAAATTTATACATAAGCTTGTTATCCTTTTTATAGAAATTATTAAATTCAAGCATTCTACTGCTCAATGTAATCTTTTTTTTGTCTCATACCAAAAAATAATAAATCTTTTTTTCTGAAGACAGATGTATTTATTAAAAATGAATCTTGGGTTAGGATTCCAAGCGACCAAGATATTATTAATATTTGTCGAGAATGCATGAAGAATTATGGTAAATAAAATCTAAGTAAAAAATTTTATATAGAACGAGAATGTATCTTGCCAAAGAATAGGAATTGAAATTTAGTCTAATTTTTTAAAACGAATTTTTTGTCTTCGACAAGAAACTAAGAATAATTAGAATGAATAAAAGCTTCGTTTAAACAAAAATTGATCTTACCAGAGAATAGGAATTGGAATTTTCTAAAAAGGCATATAAAATAATATTAAAAAATTCTAACAACAGGTTTTGGTGAAGTATAAAATAGTTTCATGATAAAAAAATTTTAAGGTGAAGGAGGTGAGTTATCATGCAAAGGAGGTGAATCATCATGCGAAGGAGGAGAATTTTCGTGTGAAAGAGGTGAAAGAGGCGAATCATCAGTTAAGTCGATTATAATTATATCGTGCGGTGAAGAATCTTCATGCGAAGGAGGTGAAGGTGGTAAATCATCATGCAAAGAAGGTGGGTCGATTATAATAGCATTGCGTGAAGAATTTTTATTAATTTGAGTTTCTTTATTTTCAGAAATACAAGTTAAGCTTCCAAATGATATTTGATGATATATAATCTTTACTTCTGGTCTACGTTTAGTGAAGAGTTGCCTGATAGGTTGTTTTTTTTGTTTAAACAGACGACTACATCTAGGTGGCATTTTTTTTTTTAAAAGGATACTAATAGATTGACTTAAAAAAAAGTGTGTGAATATATGTTTATATAGAAATATTGCTAGGCAATCTAGTCTACAGCAAAATGTTTTTTGCTCAAGATTCTTTTGTTGAGAATGACTTATCAGGATGACAAAGAATCGTTGAGAATATGCAGCCAGTGTTTGAAATTCGGATTTAAATCTTTTCTTATTCCTTAAACTGTCGATTTAACTACATATTTACTACGATTTAGACTACAATCCAATATAATTTGATGGCTTGATCACAGATCAATTATGAAATTTCCAGACAAACTTGCTATTATTATTTTACAAAAGACAGTTTTAATAAACTTTTTATAGTAGACTTGTTTTATTTTTATTAGTTATAACAAACCGAAATATTAATACATCCTTTTCATTATTATTTGTTTCCAAAAAAATTTTAATAATGAGCAGTAAAAATTTACACTGTGTACAAATTTATAATAGCATCTCTGAGAACGCTAATTTCAAAAACACTACGTATAAGCGACTAAATGCAGATTCAATTATTGAGATATCGAAATTAGTTAGCAGCTTGACTATATACGTGTATGTACCAAAAATCGATAAAGGGAAAGTTCCAAATTTAGAATATTTTAATTAATTCGTCACTCAATCAATACACATGGGATCTCGCCTCGTTGCTCACATGATCTACAGCTAGTATTCATTTATTCTTTAATATCTGACTTGTTCAATCAGGCCACCAATCTCTTTGCACAATATCCGGACTACTCGTCCAGTCTAATTGAAAACACTGTTACCTTTTCTCCTCAATTCTTTTTATTGACCTCAGCGGTGGATGGGTGGGCATTTACAACAAAGCTAGACTTGCGTCAAGCTAGCAACAGAGACTCCCTTAAATAGCCGTTTACTATGACTTAATACTTACATCACTCACTCTATCAAAAACTAATTCTCTTAAATCTGGGTGACAAATGGATACCTCGTGACTTCGTTCACGGCATTACAATGAGTGCTTAAATTCAATAAAAAGCGCATAAATTTTCTGAATTTCAGGACTGTTATCGTGCAATATCAGTCGCATGATTTGTCACACTATTTTGTTTGTTTTTTTTTAATATTAAGGTGACCACTTAGGCCCCTGGCACTTTATTAGTTCAAACGGGTGGGCCATCTGAAGACAGCTTACATATTACATCAGTATAACGAGAGTACAACTAGTCACACATACAACTTTTGGTTGCCTATTTAAG